TTGCCTAAATGCCAGTCGTGAATGTCAAATGCACCAATGCCCCCGCGTCATTTCCTTAGTACGAAATGAAAGGAGATAATTCGTTGCGGCATGACAAAGCCCTCTCAACGCATTTTCCAAATGGTACAGCGGCGTTTTCAAAACGCCGCCTCACCAAATAATAGTGGGTCCCATTTTTTTTTATTTTTTAAGTTTTTGGTTGAACACTTGACGCAATTTGCGTCCGATATCCGGCTCGAAGGACATAGCTATTGGACTAGGTCTCGTCGGCATAGCACTGAGTTAAACTATCTTTTAAAGTACACCAGTCTTATGTATTTACATATCTAACACCAAAATTTTTATATTTATAAATACATCATTTACATTTGTATGAAAAGTTTCATTTCTACTTTAGAAAATGATAATAACAATATGTGATATTAAATATTAGAATGTTATGCACGTACACTTAAGAATTTCAATGTGAGATATTTAAATACATAAATCTTGTGTACTATCTTTGTAAATTTCCTTTATTTAAATACTCATATAAATAATATATCAATCATTTTATATATAGTATAGAAAGATTAGATTTCATATTTTCATTCAATTTATTATTTCATCTATGTGTGCCCATAATTGTTAGCATGATCTCAGAGGAATCTCATGGCCCCAAAGACATGTGTTCTCAAAGATGGTCCACTAGAAGTCAATGATCACGTCAACTTGAACCCGTGAAATCTAATGTCTAACTAGAGCTTATGTAAGAAAGTGTACCGGACTTAATGAAAAATCCCTTAGGACAAGATCCAGGGAATATCCCCCAAGACAGAAGAATCATTTAGCTCCTCAAGATAACACCACAAATCATCTCAAAAAAAATGTTAGAGACCCTTCAAGTCAACATGAAGGGTCTTGTTGACTTGATCATTGATGAAGGGTCTCTAACATTTTTTTTGAGATGATTTGTGGTGTTATCTTGAGGAGCTAAATGATTCTTCTGTCTTGGGGGATATTCCCTGGATCTTGTCCTAAGGGATTTTTCATTAAGTCTCGTACACTCTCTTACATAAGCTCTAGTTAGACATTAGATTTCACGGGTTCAAGTTGACGTGATCATTGACTTCTAGTGGACCATCTTTGAGAACACATGTCTTTGGGGCCATGAGATTCCTCTGAGATCATGCTAACAATTATGGGCACACATAGATGAAATAATAAATTGAATGAAAATATGAAATCTAATCTTTCTATACTATATATAAAATGATTGATATATTATTTATATGAGTATTTAAATAAAGGGCATTTACAAAGATAGTACACAAGATTTATGTATTTAAATATCTCACATTGAAATTCTTAAGTGTACGTGCATAACATTCTAATATTTAATATCACATATTATTATTATCATTTTCTAAAGTAGAAATGAAACTTTTCATACAAATGTAAATGATGTATTTATAAATATAAAAATTTTGGTGTTAGATATGTAAATACATAAGACTGGTGTACTTTAAAAGATAGTTTAACTCAGTGCTATGCCGCGAGACCTAGTCCAATAGCTCTGTCCTTCGAGTCGGATATCGGACGCAAATTGCATCAAGTGTTCAATCACAAACTTTAAAAATAAAAAAAATGGGACCCACTACTATTTGGTGAGGCGGTGTTTTGAAAACGCCGCTGTACCGTTTGGAAAATGCATTGAGAGGGCGTTGTCATGCCGCAACGAATTATCTCAACAAAAATTTGAAGCATTTGGAGTAAAATAGGCTCGGCATAAGAGAGCACCCCAACGCTCCAGAGAAGTGCAGCATAGCCCAATTCAACTACTTTCAAAGATAGAACCTGAGAGTACGACAACACGACCCACTAGGCCATAATTCCAGCTCTCCATGTTTCAATGTTCTAAATTGATGACCTGGAGATACAAAAGAGTAACATTGTAGTGCTTGTATCCAGTGCCAC